AGCTGTCTCCCTTCGGTGGCTCTCGGCCCCTTCAGGCCGCACGGGCAGGTCTGACACCCCTTCTTCCCTCCATTTAAAGAAAATGTCGGGCGGGGGTATGTGTCTGTCCCCCTGTGCCTACGGGTTTTAACAGCGGCATCAGCTCGACGAGGAGCACCTGAGAGCCTTTTGTTAGCAGCTGTGAGAGAGACCTAATGCTGTCAGCTCCCTGAGTTTCTAATAGCACCGGGAATTAATTAACCGAGAGGAAGCAAGCTGTGCTTTCACCATATTTCCCTATTTCTTTAAAGATATTAATGGATTCTCTTTTTCAATTCTCCCTTCCCTACTTTGGGGACTTCAATGAGTTAAAAGAATCTAATCATTCATTGATAAGTTTATTTCAAATTACAACATTCGCAGCATATTGCATTTGTAATCCGAGGGCTCAGTTTGGTTTCTTCGCCCAGGTGCGCGTCTCTGAGGCGAGCCGAGGCCATGGGAGCAGCACTGGCGAGAGCGGCTCAGTGGACTGCTGCTGGCTCTGGAACTGGCACACTCGAAATCACCCCCTTGAACGAATCTCTTTTAAACCAAATTATCAAGTTTGCGGAGGACTTCAGCAGCAGACATCCTCAGGAAGCGGCGTTTGTCTTCAGAGAGCCCCTTGAGTGGAAAACGCGCTTGGGCCGTTCCGGGTTTGGAGAGGGTTATGAGATCGAGTAAGTCTGAGCTGCGGCATGTTTTGAAAGGTTGAAGGTGAACCATGAAGCAAAATTGTGTTCATTTAGCGTAAAGAAAGCCTTAGCGTATTTGGGAGGCTGAAATGGGTGGGGTTTTTATTGATGTATATTGAAAATTTTGAGTTAAAATCTGTAGGGTTTTTTGAGAGTTTGAGACTATTCTGTCTTGGTTGTGATACAGACCTGTTTAATTAGTGATTTATACAACCTGCACTGTCTATTGCTAAGACTTTTTTCAATGTGCATCTAACAGCGATTAACCCAGTGATTTCTGTCAGTGTTAGGAGTGGCTCCTGTGTGGTGGGTTGACCCTGACTGGCAACCAGGTGCCCACCGAAGCTCTGTTGCTCCCCCTGCTCAGCTGGACAGGGGGAGAAAAATACGATGAAGGACTCATGCGTCAAGATAAGGACAGGGAGATCACTCACCTGTTACTGTCATGGGCAAAACAGACTTGACTCATGGAGATTAATTTAATTTATTGCCAATCAAAAGTCAGAGTAGGATAGTGAGAAAGCAAACCAAATCTTAAAACACCTTAACCCCATCCCTCGCCTTCCTGGGCTCAATGTCACTCCCAAATTCTCTACCTCCTCCCCCCTCAAGTGGCACAGCGGGATGGGGAATGGGGGTTGCGGTCAGTCCATCACACGTTGTCTCTGCCGCTCCTTCCTCCTCAGGGGGAGGACTCCTCACACTCTGCCCCTCCTCCAATGTGGGGTCCCTCCCACGGGACACTGTTCGCTGTGAACTTCTCTAGCGTGCGTCATTCCCATGGGCTGCTGTTCTCCACAAACTGCTCCAGCGTGCATCTGTTCCACGTGGTGCAGTCCTTCAGGAACAGACTGCTTCAGCGTGGGTCCTCCACGGGGTCACAGGTCCTGCCAGGTGCCTGCTCCAGTGCGGCTCTCCACGGGGGCATGGCCTCCTTTGGGCACATCCACCTACTGATTTGCAGTGAATGAATTGATTTACCTCAGAAGTTTTCTGAAAGAAGTTTAAAGAAATTGTATGTGCTGTATCATGTGAAGCTTGAATAACAATCAAGATTCTTCTCTAAAATTTGCTGTTTGTTGAAGTTCTTATTTTGAAAACGTATAATTTAAATTTTCTAGTGGAGCAACTGTTCAGTCTGAAGCCAAAGATAAAGATGGCCAACCATTGCTTCTCCTCATGGCATCAACCCTGAGAGTTCGCAGTTTTGACCAGCTGTCCCGTATACTACAAACCGCTACAGAAAAAAAGCTAAAGGAAGCACAGGCATGCCTTGAAGGTTTCCATTCTTCTTTTTTATAATCATTCCTCTCTCTTAAAAAGTATGTATTCTCCTTCGACTCATGTTTATGAATTGTGAAGAGAGAAAGGTGTGCCTTCGTTTTAAGTGTGTGGGAAGGTGTTGATTCATGAAAGTGGCTAAAGGTGCTGATCCAGAACTTAAGGAAGTTTCTATTTCTTCTTTTGTTTTCACAGAAATCAATAACAAGGAAATCTGGAATAAAGTTAAAATAAAACTGTTGAATCTCATATACAAATTCACACATACTGAGTAATACCCCAGCTATTGTATCAGACAGTAGGTTTAAATTTCTGAAAAACAATGTGTTACTGGAGGCTAATAGCAGTTTTTCCTGCGTTTGTAGTTTAATCCTCTTTTAAAATGTTGCATCCTTAAAAAACAGCCAAAATTACATGCTTAAGACATTCTTACCTGCACAAGGTTCACAGTGAGCACTGCCAAGTCCTTCTCACAATGGCTTTTAAAATGAGTACAAGTACTTCTACTATGTTGTATTTCAAACTGAGAAGACCCTTGATATATTAAGCTGGATATCCTCTTCTCATTGAGGGTAGAAGAGATCAGTGATATTCTTTGGTAATATTGGTAAAAATTGCATCTGCAATACTAAAATATAAGTCACAGAATCACAGTTGTAGGGGTTGGAAGGGACCTCTGTGGGTCATCTAGTCCAACCCCCCTGCCGAAGCAGGGTCGCCTACAGCAGGCAAATGCTCATACTGGATCAAACATCAAATCCATTTAATCCAGGGTCCTGTCACTGACAGTGATCAACTGTGAATAATAGGGAAGAATAATATGGACAGGGTATCATGCAGAGGCATTCACAGATGCCTGAGGCGTCATTTGCAGGAACAAAGCAAAATGTTTTTGTAAAACCCATTGACATGCAGTTATGTCACTGTTTGCGGAAAAGAACAGCTGGCATAGCTGTGGAAGTAATGGGGCCATTGGGAATGCTGCTAGAAAACTTTAAAGATGCTCTTCAACATGAAATCATATTTCCAAAATGATCTCTTTTCAGTGAGTTAAACCCATTGATTTCCTGTTTTTGTGATCAGCCAGGCATATTTTCTGGAAAGGAGGCTGGCTGTTGATAAAGGGAAGTATTTAGTATTCCCTTCTTGGTTGTGAAGAACAATTTTGTTTGTTACGAAAAATTTCTTTTTTCTGCTTAACATTTTCATATTTTTAAAAGTGCGTTTCAAATTAGCACAGAGGGATATGAAAGAATACATCATCCAGTAATATTTGATGAATAGCTGCACATTATTGAAGTTCTTATTGTAAATTATTAGCATCAAAATTATTCAGCAATTGAGATTAAAAGTGTTTGTCTTGCCTAATCATTTTTAACATAATATCTTGTTACATGATTCTGTTTCATATTGACAGCTAACAGAGATCCTATAGTAAAAATTCTCGGCCCTGAATATGGGACTGTCGAAGGAGAAGATATGTCCATGTTACATTTACTTGACAAAGTGAAAAAAGATGATGACCCTGAAACAGAGATGAAAATGAAAATCAATCTTCTTCTTCATCAGCTGGATTTGCAACTGCTTAATAGTGCTCTAAAACACATTTCACAGTAAGTGCATTTCAAATGCAAGCTAAGCCTATCAGCCAGTGCATTTTTTTGTTTCACTGTTAAACCAGATTGGCTTCAACCCACAACATGTGCTTTTGATGTGACATAAAGAAATCTATTGAAATAACTTTCCCTGTTCACTAAGTTATTGAAAAAACATTTTTTTTCCGAAGATTTTGCTGTAGGTGTGGATATGCAAGTGTGTGCCTGTGAATGTGGGTTTTTTTGTTGCAGATGTTTTGCGTTTTGGTAGCAAATTGAATTTGTACAAACAACAATGTTACAATTACATATTTTCAAGGAAATGTTTATTTCTTCATGGAAGCATATTGGGTATTACATTGAGTCTGTTTTGTAGTTATAAGGACTTCATATTAGCTATGGAACTAAAATTTCACTAAACTAACCAATAAAATTAAGAAAAACATCGGAAGGTGACCCATTTCCAGATTTCTGTTGCTACTACTAAGATTCAATGTAAAAGAAAAAAATCGTGTAATATTATCTTCATTTCTCTGAGTACATCCTTTTGATGAATAGATTTTAGGCCCTTTTTTATTTAATTGCAGAGATGTAAGACTAAGTCCAGCTGCTGTAAATAATGAAGTGAATCTCCTCAAGAATGTCTCTGGGAAAGGAGAAGATACAGTACTGGAATCACTGGAATATACATCAGGTCCAGATCTGATCATATCTCACTTTTATATATACCCTTATGAAAGTACTTGACTTCTATGTGAAATTTGCTAAGTTAATTTCAGTAATGAATTTAAAGTACTTATTTCTTCTTTAAAGTTATAAAGTAAAATAAAACATTTTCAGATAGGGAATGCTGTTCTTCAGCCTTTAGTTATAGAAATAATCTCCAATCATATGAATTTCTTCAGTGGGAGGAGAGGAAGTAAACTGAGTCCCTGATGCTGAAAAGTACTAAGCACAGTTGCAGTTCTTAGCTGGGTTGGGCCACAGTTCACAGAGCTTTGCAAGATTAATCCCTGAGTATGAATTCTTAAGAGTAAGATATTGTTTTAGGAATTTTATTTGTATACATGTTATATTAATCATCAAACATAACCATTAAAAAATACTTTTAAACTGGATGAAAACATTAATGCTAATTGGTTACAGATTACACGTTCTCTAATGGATGCCGAGCTCCTCCCTGGAGGCAAGTGCATGGAGAAATTTGTTATTTAGTCATCAAACCACACGACACCGATCCTTTGTCTGTCACTTGCAGCACAGCAGGAGTGTTTTTAAATGGAGTAAGTAATAATAAAGGATTCCATGGAGTAATGAATATTTTTATGGGCTAAAATGAAAAATCCATCAGGTTTAGGGTAGTGGTGTTGAGGCTGTAGGAACCGCAGAGTTAGTTTATTGGTACAGAAGGAGAAGACACCGTAATAAATGTATCCTAGTTTTCCCATATTCTTTGAGTGTTTTTTCTGTGATTTTTATACTAGGAGTGTATTCTGCACGTTTTGCTAGCAGTGTTTGTTTAGTCTTTAAACATGTCCTAATAGTCCTTCACACCATTCTGTATTTAAAGGTACTGTGGGACTAGATGCCTCTCTAGTGCCTCATTGTGCTTGATCTAGTGTGTAATATTATTGTGTGTGGCTAATATAGCTTACTGTTGTCTTTTTATAAATGATAAGCAGTTTCTCGTTTCAGTGGAAGCTTTTTAGAAATTATTTATCTCTTTTCTTCTTCTTTTAATTTTGGTTACCTCTTTTCTTACGGATAGGTTTTATTCAGGCATGACAGTCACTTATGTGTGTTAAGCAATGACCAGAGCTCTTACATTCATTTTGAGGAGAGTCTGATGTCTGTCAGGCATAACTCCACAAAATGATTTCCTGAGAGTTAAAAAATCCAGGGAAATTTTGACTTAGCACTTTTTTAATGGATGAAGCTTATAAAGCTTCGGCTAGTCAGGTCACATTATTTTCTGATCCTTTTAGACATCTGCCATTCTGCACTGGAAGCTTGTATTGGCTTGGTTGTTTGCCATAAGCCATAAATTCTTTTCAGTGGAACTGCACACAGTACAATTAACTGATAGTAATTACTTGCCGAATTCTATGTAAGATCTTGATTATCTGTTGGGATCCATGCATGAGATGACCCATGCATCTTTACAAAGCATTATTGAAGTTTGATGGGCTCTGCTGAGCATGAGACCTCTGTACCCAATTCATTACGGTATGACCTCTGTGCACTTTAGCCCTATTTTATGATGCAGATTTTCCAACCCCGAACATTCTGTGATTCTGTGATTAAATTATCTGTGTAAAGCAATGCTGTTAATAATTTTAATGCTGTTCCTTTTTTAAGGGTCAGCTAAAGGCTAAAGATGACATTGACTATGAAAGAAAAAGTGATGTATATAAAGATATTGTGACATTTTTAAGGGAGAAATCAGATAGATTTGTAGAAAATATGGCTAAACAGGTATGTATTTACTGATACTGTGTGTATATTGTACTTTGTACAAATGTACATTGTACATTGGTAAGAAGTTCATTATAAACCTGTCTGAATGTTTGTGTTCTTTATCAAAGATAGATCTGTGATTAAATGAAGAATATTAAAGACTCTCGAAATGCATTTATTATTTTTCTTTGGGTTTGTTTCTACTAAATATGTTCCTTTCATAAACAGCAAATAATACACTATTTCACGTATTGTTCTATCATACCTTATTATGAGGTTTGATCCAACGTGTGAGGTCAGCTTCTTGCATTAAAAGTTTTGCTCATCTTCTGGTGTTATTCTTTATGGAGCACTGGAAATGTTAAAGCAGGAAAATACGATATCCTTATGGAAAAGGTCAACTTTTTATGACAGTATTTTTCTGTGATCAAAACCACTTGAATTTTTATCTGCATCCTTTCTAACCCAAATACAAATAATAGCCCAACTTTTTTTACGAGAATTGCCTGATTTAAATATCAGAGCTGAGAGTTAAGCATCCACCGTACACACTGTGTTGCTTCAGCTGCTGTAAAATGGAAGTGGTTTGGCTTTTATTTAGAGCTCTGTATTAGCTAGAATCACACAGTGCCACTACAATTTTAGTTGTTTCATCATTCCTGATAAAACCTCTTTTTTCAGATTTCTAGTGTGGTTATAACAGAATAATAACTTGGTGGTAAAATTCATTACAGGCTAAAACCTGTCAAAAGTTTTATTGTGGTTATTTATATGCAAATTAAGTTGTTGCAAGAAGGAAGTCATTAACCGGGATTTTTCTCATCCTTTAGTTCTGATCTTCTGGAATGTAGGGCTGAGGGTTTTTTTGGAGATACAGATATTTGACAGTTCTGAAAGAAAAGATCATTTCAAGTTGTACACATAAATACAGTAGATTATATTAACAGTAATGGAATTCAGTTTGTAAATTGTTCTGCTTGAAAGTGCAATACATTCCAAAATATGTTTCATTTATCCCATATGTAAGTATTTTTTTAATGTTATATCTATTGGTTTACATTTCATAAGTGTGACAATATATGAATGGTTTTAGACATAATTACTGGTTTAATGTATTTTCAAAGGGATTTGGCTTCATTTGATGGACAGGTAAGGTAAAATATGGTAATATTTTAATTTTTTTTCAGTTTTAATCCTAAATGTTAATATAGATTAGTGTTAGTATTGATAATAGAGATGATACACATGTCTTTATTGGTTTTCTGCCCTTATGAAGATACTGTAGCTATTTGAGAAATGTGTGCACTTATTAAATAAGAGTAAATAGATAGAATTTATCCTATTTTCCTTCAGTTGTCATATTAATCACTTAGTATTCCCTGACTGTGTAAATAAGTTAAGAGTATAAATTATACCATTTTATTGGTTTAGGAATATCGTATCGTGTTGCCTTGCTGAAGAGCTGATTTAGTACATTCTGCATTCTAAAACTAGAATTCAAACAAGTTCATACAGTAGAGCTGCAGAGTATTTATATTTGAGGGACAATCTTCCCTCCTGTAGAACCCTGAAAAGCAGAGAAAAGCTGTATTTCCAAGGTTGCCTACATGAAATAAATTATGACTGGCAATTGTTCTGATTTATTTTCTGAGGAGTGGAGTGCTTCAAAAAGCTCATTACATACACATATATTGCAAACGCAATAAACTTTTGTAGTATCTTCTTGACCTTGTTTAAGCTAACATACAGAATTGCTGCATTGGCGTATAGTGCTGTAGGAAACATACTTTTTAACGCGCTTAGCTGGTCAAGCTACAGCATCAATTCCCCAGTGGTTTGTCTAGTTTGTCATGTGTTAAATGGTCTTGTCTAGAGTACATTTTCAGAATGAGAGAATTAGCATGAGTTAGTTTATGATTAGACAGTTGGGTCAGCAAGACTGGAGCAGCCGATTCACATTAGGGACTAGTCAAAAACAGACCATACTGTGACAGTCTCCTTAAAACTGCCTTGAATTAGATACATGACGGAATGTCTTCACCTATCCGGTAGTGACAGCTGCAATAATAAAAATAAGTAATGATCGTATGCAGTCTTTCCTGTAAAAATTGAATATATTCCAATAGAGAATAAGAGTTGACAAGAAGTCCTTTCTGTTCTGGATATTTTTGATCAGCCATGGTACTAGACACAGACAGCTGAAGAATTGGTAGGTGCCACTCATCTTGTATGTGACTTGTTCAACGATGTTTTGTTCTGAGAGACAGAAGAAGTAAAAACTGAAATGGAATGTGTTTATATTAGTTCCAAACTATATGAAATTAAGATACTTGGAACTGAAGTCTAGCAGTTTATCATATCCTATTTCCAGGTTTATGTTCATTATTTTTTGTGGGGATTTTTTGTTAGTCCTTTAAGTAGGGAAATAGTTTTTATATAAATGATCCATTGAAAGAAGAATGACTGACTTTGCAATTCTAGATCCTAAAACTCATTTGGAATTAGGTGCTATAAAAGTGCTTGTGTCACGAATTATTTCACATATTAGAAACTGAACAACCCCCAATATTCTTGTATGTTCAGGAAGTTCCAAATTTAGCTAGGTTATTTGTTTTAAAAACTTTAATATGGACACAGTAACAGCTACTTTCCAGATTAATGTTTCATTCTTTTCAAGGCAATCTGATTTTATCCTTGTAATCTAATTCTACATTTAATAAATACAATTTTTAAGCACAACATCCTGGAATTGTGCTTATAGGTTATTGTTTTAATATGCATTATTTATATAGCAATATGACTGACAAACCATGTCTTCTTCTTTTATTAGGAATATAATTTTTTTAATGAACCAGCGTATCAGAAGAATTATCAGCATATGGAAGTAGTTGATGCTAAGGTCTCTGGCCAATCCCAGAACCTTTATGATGTTACAGAAAAGGATGTATGTGAGAAAGTGAAAAGTTCTGCAGCAAGAAGGAGATCCGTTGACAGGAAGAAAATGGAACCATCTATAAAGTGGAAGAATACTAGACTTTCTGCTTCCCACAGATAAGTAGTTATCTTTATAAATGAACTTTCCTATAGATCTCTCTAAACTGTGCTAACAATTGGACTGCATATTACAGGTTTGCATTATTACCTTAAGTTAGAAGCAATAAAACAAAATGTATTACATGTTACTTTCTAAGAAGATAGTATGGACTTCTAAAGCGATTTCTCAGTTTTCGTCTGTTGTGCAACAACTTTGGTGATGTTATGTCATTTCCACAGCAAGGCAAAGAAATATCTTGCAACCATCTGCAGTACTGGTCCCCCAGGACTGTGATATTGTCATATTTTTGGTGTAAAATGCCCTTTAATGCAAGACAGAGTAGCCAGTCTAATTTAAACCACGCTTTCTGAGGGAGGCAAAAGAGATCCAGGATGGAAAATCAGGATGACTCTTACTTATGCTACCAATTTTTAATGCTTTCATAATATATGAGGCACTTTTCTAGCTCTGCTTAGCAGCAGTCTTCACTAATGAGATTATCTCAAAGTTTGGACACCCAAAAATAGAGTATATGTATATTGGATATTGTTGGGTATGTCTTCTGAAATCAGAACTCCATTCTGATATCAAGTTTCCTGATTTTGTGTTAATGGAGGAAGAAGAATGTCTGAAGGAAAGGCTTTGATTGTGATCCTACAAAAAAATGTCAGTATCTTCTCAAGTCTGCCAATTTGACATGTTGCAAGAAACAGTTGAAGTGATTTTGGATGTGACCTACAAGCATCAGTTAAAAAAAAAAATGTGGTTTTCCAGAGGCAAGAGCTTATCTTTTTCCTCAGTCATTGTTAGAATCTATATGTAGTGAAATTGGCTGAAATCATGAGTGGTATTCTCTTTTATTGTTGTGACTGTGATAGTATGACCAGCCCAGGCTCAAAAGAACATTTCGTTTTCACAACATCATTGTTAGTTAGGGATAAAAAAGCACAAGACACTGTGCCCAGCTAGGCCTAGGAATCTTCTTGGAATATGAGGAAAGCAAGATATATTGTATTCAGCATGATCAAAGCTATGGAACAGCTCAGTCAGTGTGTGGAAGAACTAGGCAGACCAGAGCTCTTGTGCCAGGAAAAAAGATGACCAGGGGACAATAAGACTGATACAAAAAATCATGACTGGATACGGTAAATAAGGAACAGATAGTCACTGTCCATTCCAATACAAGAATGAAGGGCATCAGATGAAAATGAGCCAGTGAGACCAGTTCAGAACAAAGCGAGAGACTTCTGCATAGAGCCCATGGCTAAGCTCTAAAATTCTTTGCAACAGGGTGGTAGAGGCCATTTGTTTATGTGAGTTCAAAAAGCAACCAGACACATTCATGGAAGAGATGTCCATCCAAAACTGTTAATGCAGGGATCATCAGGAGTTCCCTGAATCACAATTTGCTGAAGAATATTCTGGAAAAAATAATTTCCGTCTTCTTCCATTGTTCTTCTACTGTTACCTAGATAGCTGCTATTGGTCATGGTTGGAGATGGTATCCTAGGATAAATGGACCTGTGGTCTGTCTGCATATACTCATTCTTTGTTCTTGTATCACATACAGGTCAGCATAATATAATTTTTCTAATATTCCACTATTTTATTAAAGCAAAATGAGTCACTTAAGACACAGCATGCTTTCTGTTTAATGCAGTTTATTGTGCAGGTTCATAAGCTTATATGTACTGACATAATATGTGTCCAACCATAGCTTTTTCATTCTATGTATATATAACAATTTTTTTTTTAATAAAAACAAGTATTTTAGTGACAAGGCCACAAAAAAAGATGCTGAAGAAGAAGGAGGAAGTAATAGTATGTCTCTGAAAATCAAAAAGAAAGCCCATGGCATTGGTTCTGAATCTGTTAAAATACAACCAGCTTCAAAATGGTATGGGTTACGTATTTTTCTTCCTTCAATTTTTAAATTTTGATTTTTCATATCTACAGTAGTTATCACCATACTTAGTATTTGACAATGTCATTTATATTTTCCTTATTCTGTTGTTAGGCAGTGTTGTCATACCTGTTTAAAATGTGCTTGTTCATTTTAGTTTATAGCTGTTTAAAATGGGTGATGTTGTTTGTTTATTTTTAGTAAAACCTCAGGCAGGTTTGAAGACGTCAGTGAAAGTTCCTCGGACACTGAGGAAGATGAAGAACAACCTGTACGTCATCAGGAAGGAATCACCGATTTGCCATCAGAATACTGGGGAATTCAGAAACTTGCAAAATATTTAAAGGTAAATAAGAAGCATTGATAAATTTTATTTTAAAAAAAGCAACTTTTTACCTTCTACATCTGAGGACACCAGGCCAGCTCCTCATCCTTTCCACCTTCCGTATATTTTAGGATAGCCTTGCTATGTAGTAAGTTCAAATCCTAGAACTGTGGACTTTCCTGTTGTACACCCATTTTTCCTGCATTTTTTTTAATCTGCTGTTCTTGGCTTGTATAGACCCTTAGATTAAACCATCTGTTCAGTGTTAGTTAAAACTTAAGATGGTATAATTTCTTTATTAATTATTGAGTTTCTGTTTTGCTTTTTTGGGTGAAACTTTCCAAAAGATTTCTTTATGTGCATAGTAACTTTCAAGAGTTTTATTAAAACTGAATACTTGCCTAAAGTCTTTCATCAACTATGATTAATGCATGACTGAAGTAATTCTAACATGGTCTTGTGACTGGATAGATGCTGCTAGTGGACAAGAAAATGTATGATAAACAGGCATCCTCCAAAACAACAAAAAAAGTTTTTTACACAGACTTGTTGAAAATTTTTTGGAACCTATTAATATAGACGTTTAGAATTCTGTGTATGTCTGAAACACATAAAATAACCAACAACCCTCTACTATTCTGGAAAACTCTAAAACTATGTTTTTCCCTCAGGAGAAATTACTTTACAAGTTTGTACTGGAATTTATGTACTGTAAGTTACTAATAAAAGCTCTGGTTTATTTGGTTTTTTGAGTAAAGCTACAGAGTGTACACATCTGACTGATAAAATGGTGGTGCTGGCATTTGATACAGCAGAAATACTTGTGAGGAATACACAGAGCTTTGGCTCCTTCTAGTCCTTTAACCATTGTAGAAGAGTAACTTAGTCTTTTAAACAGTTTTTATTGCACTCACACTGCTTATTCTCAGTTCTTGTATGTGGGACCTATGCTAGAGTTTGTAGCCAGAGACACAGAAAAGCGTGGATAATACAAGTCTCTCTGCAATTCTCTTTGCCTTACGTTTTCTAGGTTGGACCTCTTTATAATATTCTCGTCATTTTGGCTATGCTAAAATAACCGTTTGCAAGTGTAATTTGGTGTCACATTCAGCATGTAACTTGTGCAGCTATCTGCTAATGCTAAACACACTGTATAGACATTTTGCATGATATGATTGTTTCTGTTGTCATATAATTACAGTTCAACGTGTTGTTTTCGAATCTTTCAGTCTACTGATAGCTTGCTTCTGTCTGTCTTATGGACCACCTCTTTGTACTTCTCTGAGAGCTCAGAGAAATAACCATGCTACATTTTAGCGAGGACCCAAGATCCTCCTGGAGAGGATACTTGAAAATTCATTACTGTTGATGAACTCCCAGAAATCTTTTCATTAGCTCATTTATGAGCCACCCTCTCTACTGACAAGGCTCCTCTCTCCTCTTTACATAATTCTCAAGCTCCCTTTCCTCTCTAGATGCTTCATGTAGTCATGTTTAGATTTTAGTATTGGACTTGATTGAATACTGAATCATATCTATGCTTGCATGAAACCATTCTTAACAAAGAGTGAGAATGGCAAATAGAAAAATATATTTTTCATGCTCCTCTGTTTTAGAAATGGGTATATTTTGTTCCAACTGTCAACAAGCAAAATTACTTAATGGCTCAGAACTAGAAAAAGAAAGGGCAGCATTTCTGATCAAATTGTGAGTACCTGTTAGGAACTGTTTATAATACAAAATTCCATAATGTGAAGATATTTTGTTATGAAAATTCAAATGTATACTCGTTTATGTATGCATACACACCCGAGTCTTCCAATAGTTCTTTAAATTAGATAGATACCAATAGTTCTTTAAATTAGATAGATATAAATTAAACAAAGTACTAGAAGAGAGAATAGTTCTCTGTTGATTCTTAGCTACGTAAAGCAAGAAATCCCTAGTGTCAGATAAAGCTGAAAAGAGATGCCGCAGTGCCATACCACAGACAGTGGTTGAAATTTTTATTGATGGAGTGCTACTTTAGCTTGCACATGGAATTAATTTTAATTCAGCATAAATATTGCACTTCTGGCCAGACTTAGGAGATTTTTTGGCATTCTTATTGTTCATGTAGGCAAGTGCTCATGACACATGCAACATAAGGAAAAATAAATTTGTGACTGCAATATTTAAGTATCTACAAGCATATATATATAGAGGCACAAATTTGAGAGCGTTTGTGTGTCTTTAAAGGTTGTATACATTGTTTGCACATCTTAAAAATGTAATAAAATGCCTTAAATAATAGAAGTTTGAGATACCAAGTTAGAAAATATAAAAATCTGTATGTGGAATCATTTTTTGAATGTCTGCTAAAGTAGATGAATCAGAGCTCAGCAAGACTCTACAAAAGATTAATTGCAAATGCAAAACTTTTGTAAAACCAGAAAAATGCCTAGTTTTTATATCAATGTTAGATTGTTGTTGAAACTTAAAAAGGTGGTTGCTACCTGTATAAAGCAAACTTGCCAGATCCTGTGAATTGTGCCTGTAGACTACGTATTTGGATACCTCTTCATGTAGAGAAATTTCCAGTGCAGGGGAAACTCCCTTCTGACTTTTTGCCCTTCTCCATTCCCCCTCCTTTCTGGGAAAGAGCATCCATGTTGGAATTGCTCCACTGGGAAGCAGCTGCCTCTGTGGTCTGGCTCCTTGTCCTACCTTCAAGCTTCCCAGGGCTGTGGAACAGAAGGCACAGCATGTGTGCTCTTGCCATGTCTCCCCATTGACTTAAGAACAGGCAGCGAAAACAGAGCAGTGAGCTTGGTGATCACATCGCGTTAGGCATCTTTGGAGATAGAGGAGATAAAATTGGAATAAAGCGCTCTGATGTTCACGGTGAGATTAACTCAGGAGAGCGTGCTTCAGATCTCACATTATTTGTTAAAGTAGTACTTCTGAAGTATTACATTTCTAGGGGAAGGACTACATTTTATATGTAAAAAGTTTTAGGAATAGGGTGAAGTGGTCACATTTTACAATGATCTTTTTACTAGAAATGAGGAACATCAGGTAGAAATGCAGAATCTTCTCTGTGGCAGAACTGGGGCTGTTCACTGGAAAAAAAAAAAGGAAGAGAAAAAAAAGGTGATTGCTGGGCACAATGCTTTGTGCTGCTTGCCATTAAGCCCTGATTATTGCCAGTTTTAAGGTAAAATTGAGATGTTGAGAGATGAATTGGGCTGGTGACTGCGCCAGGAGTAACTCCAATCTCTAGAATAAGTCTTTAATCCCTTAAGCCCTTGTGCTGTTCAGTTTTGGTTCCCTGTAAGGGTGTAATTTATGTGTACACCTATGCCAGGGTGAGCTCTGGATAGATTTCTGCAGGACCGTATCAGTTACAGAATTCTTCCTTCAGTTTCTTACCCAGAAAGTCATTCTACTTTTGGCTATACTTCAGCGGTACACTAGTGAAACCAGTCAAGTTGCACACTTCATGTAAAATATCCGCTAATTTCGTACCCGTTTTGAATTGCTGCAGTTCAAACTACCTCATTCATAGAACAGCAGTGTGGTTTTTTTCTACTTTGGAAGCATAGGTGGACAAACCTGCTGTTTCTCCCCAGCTGTTTGCATCTTGTGCCAGGTCCAGGAGCTGGAGAAAGGCTGTGGTGCTGCACAGGAGCTAGGGGGGATGTACACTGGGTATGGCCTTGAGCACCAGCTCCTGGGTACCCATGTGTGCTGGTGCTCCATTGCAGTGGATGGCTGGGAAGGAAGGACATCTGTCACATGGATGAGGGAAATCTCCTTGACTGGACAAGGAAAAGGTTGAAAGAACTGCAGGATGCACTGGGTGTATTCAGGTCTGCTCCACAGCTGCACTTTGGCAGGACCTTTGGAAGACTGTTGCATTTGAGCAATATTTCTGTAGCTGGCAGGAGGCCCCTCTGTATAGGGCTTACATTGCATAAAGATGGCAAACAGACCAGGGAGGCAGGAATGTACAGGAATATTCCTTCTGGTCTTTGCCTTCTCCCTTTTCTTTCTGTCCAACTCCCTCTAAAAGTCTTTGCTTATTTCTAGGCAATTGGGTCAAGGAAATGAAAGTCTTAAGAGATCAAAGCTATGGGTCTGGTTCTTACGGGGTGTGTGTTGCAGTGAGTATTGGCTGGGCAAGACCTACTGCCCATGACTTCTGCTTCCCCTTTGCAGCTCGAGCTGAGCTGAGCCAGGAGGATGTAGTGTGGCAGCTGCACCACAGGCAGAGTTCATTTCCTCTTCTCAGGAAGCTCAACTTTATCAGTTAGGAAAATGCAGCTGTGTGTTGGCTTGCAGGAAGGAATAGTGGATTTCCAGCTGAGCTGTTTGTACGTGGAAGGCACTGGCATTCTTGGGGAAGAAAGGTACAAGTTAGAAATGCAGAAAGTTAAATAGACAGTGAAAAGATGCAGGGAGGCTCTGCCTGGAGCTAAGATGCAGAATCTGAAATGAGACGTTCATGTAGATACTGTTGATAGACAGTATGGGATAGTTTTATTCCCCAGGAAAAGACAGGGAGACATCTGGAGGCTGGACTTCGGGGGCCTGGGGCAAACCAGGGTGCAGGAAAGCCATGTATGCATGACAGATAGCAATGCAGACAAGGAAAGTCCAAACTATTACAGAAACAGGGACCCTGTTTCAGAACATTTGAGCACCAAATCTTAAATGGCAGCTGTGTGTGTGCAGGGAGTTCTTTTGCACTCTATATACAAGGTATGCAATGTGACATTTCTCTGCTTGGAGGAGGAAGAAGGAGGCAGTCAACAACTGCTTGCGCACTTCCCTGGTATGCATAAAGTCAGTCACAGTTTATCTCTAAGATGAGACTTGTCATATCTGTCTAAATTTTTAGATATCTGAAAAATAGGTATTTTCCTCATAATATTTTCTGATAGCAAACATCCAGCCTTTCAAAAGAAATTGTTACTTTCTTGTGCAAATGACAATTTTTTAGCAGTCCCAACCCTCCTGTGGTTTAATAGGTGGTATAT